CGACCTCAACCGCCAGTACGCCAAATGGGTCACGGCGCTCGAGAACACCATGATCAGCCATCACCAGATCGACCCCAAGGAAGCCGCAGCCTTCACAGGCCGAGCCCAAGGCTACCAATTGTCTTGGAAGAAGACGGCCGCCGCCCCAGGCCGTGTACACGTTCATGATCCACAGTCGGAATGGTGGGCAATCACGCTCACCCTCATCAAGCGCTACGCAGCGCTCCACGACAAGCCCAAGCACGCAGCGCTCATGCACCAGCAGGCCTCCATCATCCAGCAGCGCGCGGACCATTTCAACACTCACTTCCATGACCTCCAGTTCGAGAAGGACGAAGACACCATCTTCCGCTGGTTCGCTCTTGTCTGGGCCCCGCAGTTGGACAAAGAAGACACCGACGACCTGGTCACTATTACCGCTACTTGGGCCTCCAGAGCGCTCACCGCAGCCCTCGCCAAGTCTAAGAGGGCTTACGGAGCTTGGCTCGCCAAGCAATGGAAACACCGCCCTGGAGTACTACATGCCCATGTCAAGCCCGCGCCCGTACGCCACATCGAGGCCTACACGACCAACCAGACCATAGCCGACCCCACCGTTATCATGGACAACAAGAAGCAACAATGGCAACAAGTATGGCAGGCCACCGAGACCCCCGACGACATCCTACAGGCGCTGACACTGGCAAAGGCAGCAGCCGCTCGACAACCACTCGAGCCCATCACAGCCGACATCGTACACCGTTTCCACGGCCGCATGCCACCCAGCAAAGCCCATGGAGTTGACGCCCTTGGACCTCGCGGCCTCCATCGACTACCAGAACCAGCAGTCGAAGCCTATGCTGACATCCTCAACGCAGTTGAGCATGCAGGCATCTGGCCACTACAAATCTCAGGCACTATTGCAGCCCTCGCAGCCAAGAAGTCTGGAGGTGACAGGGTCCTCGGCATGCTACCGCACATGGCCAGACTCTGGTCTCGCATCAGATCGACTGCGTCTACATCCTGGACCCAAGGCCTGGACGACTTCTGGACTACAGCCATCAAAGGCTCCTCAGCACTCCAGGCCGCTCTACATAGAGCCTTATTAGACGAGACAGCCTCAGCACTTGGCGTACAGTCAGCCACATTGCTATTAGACATCCAGAAATTCTACGGCAATATCAAGCTGGCCAACCTCATCATGGTCGGCCTCAACTGCGGATTCCCCCCCATCATTCTTCTACTGGAAGTACAGCTATACCTGGCGCCCAGATTCTTGCGCAGTCGACAATGGGTCAGTATGCCTATCTTCGCCTCCAAAGGCATCATCGCAGGCTCCCCGCACGGCACGACCCTGGCAAGACTTATTTTACTTCCTATTATACGGCAAGCCCAAGCTCAGGCAGAGCTAGCCCAGATGTGGACCTTTGTTGACGACACGGTCCTTCGAGTCGAAGGAGTCCTACGCACACTGCTGAAGCACCTCCCCAGCGCAGCTAAGACGCTCTGCGACGGTCTGAAGGAGTTCGAGCTGCCCATCTGTGACAAGACGGTCCTCATTGGCTCCACACCCAAGGTCCGCAAGTTGCTAGCTAAGAAGCTGCGGCTGTACGACATCCCAGTCACTGCGACCGCCACGGTCGTCGACCTCGGAGTTGACGCGGCCGCGGCTACACGACGGGTACAAGCCAAAGCCAGGAAGCGACAGAGCTCGGCCGCAGCTAGGTTTCGCAAGATACACCGACTACGGAGCACTGCCCTGCAGGCTCGAATCTCAGCAGGACTCTGGCGTACTGGAGCTCTCCCCGAAGGGGTATTCGGTCACCAAGTGCACGGCCTCGCTCGGCACGCTCTACTACGATGGCGGCGCCAGGCCGCTATTGCAGCCACGGGAGCAGCAGCGGGCCGATGCCTCACCTCCCTCCTGGGCGCCACCTTCGACGGCATGGACCCAGGAGCTTCCCTCAGGATCGAATTCATCGAGGCGTGGCTACAGCGTTGGATACGGCACCCGAGCACGCACGCCAGGATTATCAGAGCATGGCCAAGGATCAAGACCACCCTGCTAGCCGCGGGCCCCAAGCTGTGGTGCAGGGTCAAAGGGCCCACTGGCGCGGCCATCGCGGCCTTGCTGGAGGCCAGCTGGGACCCGACTACAGCTACTACGTGGAGACGCACGAAGGACGGCTACATCGAGGAGTGGAACCTTCCCCCCGCTGATGACCCTGATCTCCTCGACGCCGACATCCACGCAGTATTGCAGGACCTCAGCGAGGATTTGCACAGGCTCATCTGGACTCAGGCCGCTACGCATGACCATGGTGACACGCTGGCTGGAGGCGCGGACATGGTCACCATACGCATCGAACAAAGGAGGTTCCTCGCAAACGGAGATTTCAGCGATTGGGCCCTCAACAACACCGTCATCAGTGGTGGACAATGGACCAGGGACCGCCTCTACAACGCGGGCTACCAGATCGACAAGAACTGTGACCGATGCAGTGCAGGAGTACCTGAGACCTTGTTTCACCGAGTGTGGCAGTGCGAGGCGAATGTGGGACCTGATTTTGAGGCCAGTGACAAACTACTACCGCGAGCCGTGGCGGGAGCCAATGCTGACCCTGCCCTTTGGCTCCGTGGCATCCCCTCTGTCGCTCTCACTACGCCCGCGTTCGAGCCATTGACTGGGAGGGACGGGTGGGAGTTTGTTGGTGCGGTGCGGGAGGGGTTGCCGTCATGGGAAGAAGCTCGTAACGCTGAGGGCGAGTTATTTCTTTTCGGCGACGGGTCTGGAGGCGCATTTTCCGACGACGTCAGGCGACGCCGTGTTGGTTCTGGCCTCGCGGCCCTCAGATGGGACCCTCCCTCGGCCTCCTGGACCCTCCACGCGGGCCTCCTCGCCCCCCTCCCAGGCCCCCGCCAGACTGTCCCAAGAGGCGAATTGCATGCGTTTTGCTTGGCACTGGAGACGTGCCACCAGGAGTTTACGTTTGTTACCGACCATCTAGCCCTGCAGCGCGGCTGGCAGAATGGCAGATGTCTCCGACCTGGCAGCCTCAGAGGCAAGAATAAGAATGGAGATCTCTGGCTGAGAATTCGGCACCTCGTGCAAGATCGATCTGGCGGCGGCGCCTCTGTCACGGTGCTCTGGACCCCTTCTCACGCCGATCCCCTCACGTTGCATGGCTTCCAAAAATTTCTGGCTCTCGGCAACCAGCATGCCGACGAGCTTGCGGGAAGAGCGGCCCACAAGTCGGCCACCCTCGCCCTCCCGCCCGTCCCCAGGACCGATGAATACGACGCTATCGCTGCCATCGTCCGACAGAGAGGGCGACTGATTCTACGTACCTTAGGCAAGAATTCGGACCCCCGAGGGCAGTGGCCAGAGAGGCAACCCCACCAGGAGGCTGCCCCGCGCTCGCAGTTGCAGACCGCGATCGCGGCTTCTCAGCACAAATTCGAGCGCTGTGCAGACAAATGGAGATGCCCTGCCTGCCTCATCATCGTTGATGCTTGCCACGTTATTCCAGCTGCCGCCACTGAATGTGTACCGCCTAGCCCCCTCCCCGAGTTCGCCGCGTGTGGTGAAGTGCTGTGGTCGAGGGGACCCCGTGTGATCAGTGGCAAGTTGATCCACCCCTCCCACACTTTGGCCACCATCCCCAAGTGGCAATTGTTTCTGTGTTAAGTGCGGCCACACTGCCACGCACCAAGTTAAAAGCCTTTTTTTGCCGTGCCCTCTCTCCCACCAAGTCGGAGAGCGCAGGGCCATGGGACCCACTGGCAAAGGCCTCGAGAACCTCAGCAGGATCAAGCGAGGCCTCCACCCGTCCAGAACGGGTCCCAGCAAGTCTGTGCTAGAAGCCTTGCACCTTTCGGCAGCCGAAGCCGCGATCGGTTCCTACGCGGCGGGAGCTGCCTCTGAGTAAATTGCGAGGCCAGGGGGGCCTGTCGCGGTGGGCCGTGGGATGTCGCCCCCCACGGCCCTCCGAGAAAAACTGGATGGCCCCCCTGGCGTCTCTGGGTTCCGAACGGACTACGTCCGATTGCTCCACTCCACTCCTCCTCCTCCTCCTCCTCCTCCTCCTCCCCCTCCTCCTCCCCATCCTCCTCTTCTTCCTCCTCCTCCTCCTCCTCCTCCTCCTGCTCCTCCCCCTCCCCCTCCCCGTCCTCCTCCTCCTCCTCCTCCTCCTCCTCCTCCTCCTCCCTCCTCCTCCTCCTCCTCCTCTCCCCCTCCCCCCCCTCCTCCTCCCCCCCTCCTCCTCCTCCTCCTCGTCCTCCTCCTCCTCTCCTCCTCCTCCTCCTCCTCCTCCTGCTCCTCCTGCTCCTCCTCCTCCTCCTCCTCACCCTCCTCCTCCTCCTCACTCCTCCCCCTCATCCCTCATCCTCATCCTCATTACCTCATCCTCATCCTCCTCCTCCCCATCCTCCTCCCCCTCCTCCCCCTCCTCCCCCTCCTCCTCTCCTCCTCCTCTCCTCCTCCTCCTCCTCCCCCTCCTCCTCCTCCTCCTCCTCCTCCTCCTCCCCTCCTCCTCCTCCTCCTCCTCTCCTCCTCCTCCTCCTCCCTCCTCCTCCTCCTCCCCCTCCTCCCCCTCCTCCTCTCCCCCCTCCTCCCCCCCCCTCACACCCTCGTCATCCTCCTCCCCCTCCTCCTCCCTCCTCCTCTCCTCCCCCTCTCCTCCCTTCCCTCCTCCTCACTCCGCCTCCTCCTCCTCCTCCTCCTCCTCCATCCTCCTCCTCCTCCCCTCCTCCTCCTCCTCCTCCTCCTCCTCCTCCTCCTCCCTCCTCCTCCTCCTCCTCCTCCCCTCCCCTCCCCCCCTCCTCCCCCCTCATCCTCCCGCCCCCCTCCTCCTCACCCTCGTCATCCCATCCCCTCTTCCATCCTCATCCTCCTCCCCCTCCTCCTCCCCATCCTCCTCCCCTCCTCCCCTCCTCCTCCTCCTCCTCCCCCTCCTCCTCCTCCTCCTCCTCCTCCTCCTCCTCCTCCTCCTCCTCCTCCTCCTCCTCCTCCTCCTTCCGTCTCAGACGCCGCTGCCTCCGCCGAGACCTTCCTCGGGGAGGGGACCGGCCTCGCGGTGCGCGTCGCGCAGCCCCACGAGCCGGTGGTCGAACTCCGCGGGCGGCCAGGCGGCGACGAGCCGCGGGGGCCCGGGGTCCTCGGCGGGGCGGCGTGCCCAGACCTGGCCACCGGAGGGGGGGGGGCAGCAGGAGGAGGAGGGAGCTCGAGGAGGAGGGGGGGGGGCAGGAGGAGGGAGCTCGAGGGGGTAGGGATCGGGGGGAGGGAGGCTGGAGGAGATCGAGGCAGGGGGAGGGCGAGTGGGAGAGGAGGAAGAGGAGAGAGTATGGGAGGGGACGGGCGCAGGAGGAGAGAGGCGGCAGGCGGAGGAGGAGGCGAGGCGAGGGGTGCAGGGGGGGGGGACAGGACGGGAGAGGGCGGGTGTCGAGAGGATGCGCAGGATGCAGCGCAGGGGGCTGTGCGGCCGTGCCGTGCTGCCAGAGCCAGGGACGGCTGACGCTCTTGCAGCTGAGCAGTCTCGCAGCAGCCTCGAGCGGGCATGCGGCGTACGGATGCACCAGGCCGAGAGGAGAGCGCTCTCTGCGCCCAGACCCGCAAGCCTTCAGCCACAGCCTGGCGCCTCAGGGAAGGCGCCCCGTCTCGCCTCGCCATTTCGCAGACAGGGTGGGGAGATCCCCTCCTCCTCCTCCTCCTCCTCCTCCCTCCTCCCTCCTCCTCCTCCTCCTCCTCCTCCTCCTCCTCCTCCTCCTCCTCCTCCTCCTCCTCCTCCTCCTCCTCCTCCTCCTCCTCCTCCTCTTCCATCTCGCTGCTTCAGGGAACGGAGACCATCTGGTAGGAGATCAAGTCCAGAAGCGGCGAATAGCGTAAGGATTGCCAATCGGCACATGCTCTCGGCCAGAGTGTCGATCCCCACACCCCCACCCCACACGCAGTGCTCTTTCAAGCTGGGACGACCTTCGCAGGGGCCCACGTGCACGCAGTTCCTGGCCTTTGATTGGCTGAGTGGGGCTCCTCATCGCCCACCTCCCCTTCACACCCGCATCGCAGATGAGTCCTGGCTGCCAAAAGGACATATTCATCTTGTTTGATCTGAGGCGCTGACACACACACACACACACACACGCTGCGAGTAATCCAGACTCCCTGCAGGGAACAAATAAGGTCGAGGGCAGGGGGGAGGGATAGAGAGAAGGAGGGGGACGGGGGGAGGGAAGGAGAGAGGGCAGGGGGAGAGAGCGTCCTGAATGGAGGGAGGGACAGAACAAGAGGAGGGAGGGAGGGAGGGAGAGAGGGAAGGAGGGAGGGAGGGAGGGCAGGGAACCTCCTGTTCCTGCTCCGCCGCCTCCTCCTCCTCCTCCTCCTCCTCGTCCTGCATCCTTCTTCCATCTAAATAACTTCTCCCTGTCGCACCCCGAGGCCGATCCAATAGGCGGGCCAGGCGTTTCGCCGCGACGTTTCGCCTGATACGTCCTCATTATTATGTCTTTTTGCAACAGTTTCACGGATGAAAGGCGGGTCGCTTCCAAAATGTGGCTCTCGCCGTAGCGCCGCGCAGAAAGTTCGCAAACATTGCACGGATGGGGGGCGGTCCATTTTCAAAATGTGGATCCCGCCGTAGTGCCGCACACATTCGCTCACGGATGGAGGGTGAGGCTCTCGCCTTAGCGCCGCGCACACTCATGCAACAGTTTGCAAGAGTTTCACGGATGGAGGGCGGACCGTTTTCCAAATGTGGCTCTAGCCGTAGCGCCGCGCACATTCGTCTGCAGAGTTTGCACCAGTAACAAGAATTCTCATGGTTAGCATCCGATAAATGACGTCTTGGCATGATGGTGGAATGTCAGGGCGCAACAATTAGCTTGATTCGCGGAGTTGAAGTCCCAGGCATGGTGTTCTGGCATGATTCAGAATCGTCCAGACGCAACAATAATGGTGATTCGCGGCGCTGGCGTCCAGGGAACGGTGTTCTGGCACAGTGCTGAATTCTCAAACGGTTGTCTTCCAACGGCGAACTTTCCTCAGTGGAATCGAACCCTTGCAGGGGCCCATGCAAGAGGGAACTTGGAGGGAGGGTGTGTTGCAATGCCATTGAAGGGTTTGGGGTTTGCTCTGGCCCTCGTCCTGCTCCTCCTCCTTCTTCTCCTCCTCCTCCTCCTCCACCTCCTCCTCCACCTATCCGCCACGCATAGATTTCTCTGTACCCCCGAACCTGCACAATGACAGCGGGTGGTCGGCTGCCTGGCTGGAAGCTGAAGGTCATGCCGACGTCCTGGGCCCCTTCCTTTTCATCAACAAACTGTCTCAGAGATCTCTTCTCCTCCTACTCCTGCTGCTGCTGCTGCTGCTCCCACTCGTTTTCCTCCTCCTCCTCCTCCTCCTCCTCTCCTTCCTCCTCCTCCTCCTCTTCCACCTCCTCTTCCTCCTCCTCCTCCTCCTCCTCCTCCTCCTCTCCTCCTCCTCCTCCTCCTCCTCCTCCTCCTCCTCCTCCTCCTCCTCCTCCCCCTCATCCTTCGCCACCTAATCTTCATTATCATTGTCATCCTCCCCCCCCTGCATCACCATCGTCATCAACATCAACAGCAGCATCACCACCACCGCCACCGCCGCCACCATATATCATCAACATCCGCATCATCGTCGTCATCATCATATTCACAATGACAATCGTATCAGCCAGCGCTGACCCCAAATAGATAGGAGGACAGGAGGAGGAGGACAGGAGGAAGACGAGAGGAGAATGGGAGGAGGACGAAAGGAGGACGGGAGCAGGACGGGAGGAGCAAATTCAAGCTAGCGCAATCAAGCAAGCTGAAGCAAGCAAGCGCAAGCGAACACGAACAAGCAAGCAAGAGCCAGCGATAAAGTGCAAGCAAGCAAGGGCAAGCATGAGCAAGCAAGCGATAGCAAGCACGCAAGGACAAGCAATCAAGAGCACGCAAGAGCAAGCAAGGGCTAACGACTCATATGGGACCCATAAGAAGCCATAGGACTCGCCATTGGAAATAGTTGGGGGGGCCATTGGAAACAGGGGGGTGCCAATAGCAAAATGGGGGCAGGGGGGGGCATTGGAACTCACGGGGGGTGCCATTGGAACGGGGGGGGGGGGCTAAAGACCATTTACGTATGATGAACTAGGACTCCCATAGGTCAAGCCTATCTGGAGAATTGACATAGGCATAGGCATAGGCGTAGGCATAGGAGCTATGGGGGGGTATAAGCATAGGCATGGGCATTCGGGGGGGGGTATCGGAATTAGGGTGGGCAACGTACCAAATAGTATGGTTTGGGGTTAGAACTCCGATGGGGCAAGCCTATTAGGAGAAGCATCACCATTCTCATCATCATCAGCCGCAACATAACCATCGTCAGCATCATCAGCAACCTCATCGTTCCTGTTCACCTCTCCGTCCTCCCTCCCCCTTCCCCCTTCCTCACCATCCTCACCATCCTCTCTCTTCGTGCACGTCCCTTTTATTCGGTCCCCCCCTTACCAGCAGCAGTGCGATAGGTGGCGCAACCTATGTGGAACAAACTATGTGGTACAATATACGTGGTGCCGCTTATGGTGCACAACATATGCTGCACCGTCAGTCGGCAATGTGTTATGCCTACCTATATGTATATAACGTATATATACACGCTTCTATATGTATGGTGTGCTGTGCATGTGGTGTCATCTACGATATGCGACCTGTGACGAGCAATATGTGTGGTGCGATCTGTATGGTGCAAGCTATGTGCTGCAATGGTGTCCGTTCGTTGCCGGCCCCAGCGATTCTGAAATGTTTGCCGGAAGCCGATGCATATCTCTCTTCCTCCTCCCCCCCCCGCTTCCTCCTCCTTCTCCGCCTCCTCGTTTTTTGATGGTTGGATGGTGGCTGGAAATCACCAGAGGGGTTCTATTGGAAGGGAAAGCGCCACAAAGGGATTCCATTGGAAAGCCTCACAGCGGGACCCCCCTGGAAAGCACCACAGCGCATTCTATTAGAAGCCTCGCGCCAGGAACGATTGCAGCGCGACAGGGGTCATTTGGAACGCACAACCAAAGAATTCGATTGGAAAGCCTCACAACAGGCATCCTTTGCAAAGCACCACAAAAGGATTCGATTGGATTGGAAAGCGCCGCAAAATGGATTCGATGGGGAAACTCCTTCACGATCTCTCCACATTCCCTAATCGGAAGAAAGCTGAAGTGCCAACGGCCCAACGCGTGAGGTGGAGAGGGGTTGGGGTCGATGGGTGCAAGCCAACCCAGCCAGCCACGGTTGGCCGGCACTCTCACGCGACGCCCCGCCTGTTCCCTCGGCGGTGTTCTGGGGAGGTGGAGGGCAAACTACACGCAGACAATCACGCAACATCAGTAACTCGAAGTGCAAGTGTACCTGGAGAGGCTCACGCAACATCCAAAATGCGAATGCCAAGTGTACCTGGAGAGACTCGCCCCGTCCTTTTCCCCCCATACCAATCAAGATTGTATGGCTGGGAAAACTCCTTCACGATCTCTCCACATTCCTTAATCGGAAGAAAGCTGAAGTGCCAACGGCCCAACGCGTGAGGTGGAGAGGGGTTGGGGTCGATGGGTGCAAGCCAACCCAACCAGCCACGATTGGCCGGTACTCTCACGCGACGCTCCACCTGTTCCCATTGTGGCGACCGCGGAGAAGCACCCATTGCAGGCGATCCCCAACCCAGAACCCGAAATCCCACGGGATGACATGACTATGGCGGAGGACAACGAAAGAGAAGATGGATGACATGAAGCATATTTACTCCTGCCCTCACTCCGAGTCGGAATGGTCAATCACTAACCGCGAATTCGCTGCGTCTTCTAACTGGCTCGTGCGCAAGTATCGCACGAAAGCTGCGCTCCGCCAGTCGCCCGCAAGAAGGAGCACGGACAGGCTTCCCCCAGCGTCCAGAATATCTCTCGCCACCCCCCTCCGAAGGCAATGGGTGCCCAATGAACCGCCGTCTGGGATGCCCGCTGCAGTGGCGTGCCTTCGGAAGTCATTCACGAACTGACCTCGGGTCTTGGTGAACATCGATTTTCTCTTTTCCGTTGCAGCCACGGCCAGTGCCTTCTTCATCCACTGGTAGGCGCACAGCAAGCGCCCCGAAGAAGCGCGGCAGCACATTCGACGGAGCGTGGTGGGCGCACGAAGGTGTTTGCGCTTGTTTAACACAACCACCACTTCCCCGGCAGCGCAGGAGACCGCAGAGCGCCCACCGTGGATCTGGAGAGGGATGGCCTCTGACGGCGCCCTCAGCAAGAGCAGGCGACTCACAGCGATCAGCGCGGCCTGCTCGATATCTCCCTCTTCCTCGGCTGCGCGGATAAGCATCCTCGCGCAGGGCGCCTGCGCAGCCAAGCGTGGCTTGGGTGATGGGGCAGCCTCCCGCGCTCCGCGCCGGACCTGCTACAGCGCGCTGGTGCCCAGTCATTTGGCAAGCGATGAAAACGGTGCGCCCACCTGAGATGTTTCAGGTAAGTGCAGAATGTGTCACCACTAGCAAACACGCTTGCGAAGCACAACGCTGCCTCTTCCGAGGCGGGGAAGTGGGGCCGAATAACCCCATGCCCACGATAATAACGCCCCCCCCTTAAGTCGTTAGAGTTTTTTATCGTCGACCAATAAGAGTTTGGTCGGGGGCGCGGGGGCGCGGAGGCCGAACTTCATTATCACGGGAAAAGTTCGCCATCGAGGTTACTTCCTTCTCATGTTTAGATAACGACATCAAGAGAAGCGAACGCGTTGTGTCAGGATGTCTCAAGCGAAACCATTGTCCGTCTGTCTCTTTGTAGTTATTTCTGTCTCTCTTTCTTTCTTTCTCTGTCTCTCTCTCTCTCTGTCTCTCTATCTCTTTCTCCTCCTCCCTCTGGCGCCCTGAACTTGTTTATCGCTGGGGTTGATTATCCTGGGAAAACGAGGCGCGCGAGCTACCCTGCACGAGCAGAAGCAAATTTCAATTTTCATCAAGCGTTTACAAATTAAATCTAATAAGTTTGAAACTTTGGATTTGTGCGATCTCCTTCTCCTCTCCTCCTCTTGCTCTTTCTCCTCCTCCTCCCTCAAGGATGTCTCGAGCGAAACCGATGTCCTCCTGTCTCTTTGTAGTTATTTATGTCTTTCTTTCTTTCTTTCTCTGTCTCTGTCTCTCTCTCTCTCTCTCTGTCTCTCTATCTCTTTCCCCCCCCCCCCCCGGCGCCCTGAACTCGTTCGTCGCCGGGGTCGATTATCCTGGGGAAACGAGGCACGTGAGCTACCCTACACGAGCATGTAAAACAAATGTTCATCAAGCGCTTACAAATTAAATCTAATAAGGTTTAAACTTTGGATGTTTGCTATCTCCTTCTCCTCTCCTCCCCTTGCTCTTTCTCCCCCTCCTCCCCCCTCAAGGATGTCTCAAGCGAAATAAGCAATAATTTGAAGATGTCTCAAGCGAAACAGACAAACATTTCGAGGATGTGTCAAGCGAAACAAGCCTGTCGTTGAGGATGTCTCAACCCAGACAATCCTCAATATATCTTTGGCTTTTTCCCCTTGATATCTCTGTATGCTGGCTTTGGCGGGCAACTTTTATTCTCCCCGAAAACCCCGAACTTTACTATCCCTGGGGGGTTATTCCCCGAGGTTTAGGGTTACAGGCAGCATCGCAACATGCCGCCCGGCACCTAATGCCGGTCATGTACGTAGGAAAGGATTCTTTGATTGCCTGTGTCATGAATCTCTGCGCCTGTTCGGCCAAGATGTCCAGTGCGTTCTGAGATGCTGCGCTCGGAACGCGAATCCTCTTACGGGGGCCCCCTGCCGCAGCCAGGTCCCCCAAGCCAGTCTCTGCCATGCGGCTCGCAAACGTCACCCTGTTGAGGGCGGCTGCAATCTGGCCCTCTCTCAAGAATTCCCCCAGGCAGCGGGCCACCACCCAACCCGTGCATTCAGTGTCTGGATGAGAAAGTATCCTCCGGAGCCACCAATCGCAGGCGTGCCCCCCTTGGGGCTGCCGATCCTCAGGGGGCGCACTGGTGGACAACAAGGCGTGCCGAGTGGCCTCCTGCGGCGCAACCGGCCTCCCAGATGCTGAAGACGCACCTGGGCCTTGCACTCCAACATCGGTGTGATCCAGCGTGACGGGCCTGAAAGATCCAGGAGCGCAAGCTCTTCTGGTCGCATTCGCGGCAACAGCGGCGTCTGCCCGAGGCTGGTGCCTACTGAGTGTGACCGGCGTGAACGGCTTCATTGCTGCGTGAAGTATTCGGGCCAAGCGTTGCTGCGGGCGGTACGCATGCCAACATTAGATCAAGACCTGATCAACCCCCAGGGGGGGCCGTCGCGTGATGTTGCGCGCCATGTACCCTGGCGTTCGGCACGGCTCGTGCCATGCACTTGTTATGCACCCGGCGCCATGCGGCACCCTTGCAACAACCGACGTGTTGTGAAGCGACTCGTGCCGCTCCCAAACTGCCCGATTCGTGGGGCAGTCCAGCTTGCCCTTGGGTTGCAGTGCCCATAGAGATGAACAAACATGAATGCACTGATAAACGATGATGACGAAAATGATTCATAGGACATGAAAGAGGTTAGGGAGAACATTCGGCGCGTGGCTCGTGCCCCGAGCCCTTGAACTTGCGTGCCCCTCCAGACTTCGTGACGACAAGATGGCTCACTGGCGCGAGCCGCGACGCCCGCCTGCCGACGACCGATCGACGATAGCAATGATAGGAGGGGCGGCGGGAAGGACCGATTGCGGGGGGTGGGAATGATGACAAGCATACATTAATAACCACCGTGCTCGTGCCAAGACCCTGCACGTGGAATTGTTCCTCGGGGAACTAACCCATTTGTATCGGGCGCCTCGTGGCCGCTGGGCGCACGTCACCCCGACTCGTGCCGAGGACATATCACGATGCCACGAGGCAAATTTTAAAGCGCCTCGTGGCCCCCCAACGCATGCCAGCGCCGACTCGTGCCGGGTGCGCATGTCCACGCCAGCTGAATTGCGATTGTCTTTCGGGCGCGCTGTCGAACGAATCCAACCTCTGCGCAAAACAAAAGTGCATAGCCATAGGGGGAGGAGAAAGGGGAGGAGACAAGGGGGAAGGAAGACAAGGAGGAGGGAAGAGGGGAGACAGGAAAGAACAAGAAGGAGGAGGGGGTGCATCAATCGAAGTGCTCCCTGATCGTCTTAGTTGTCGCCGCGGCCCCTGCCGGGATTAAGCCAACGGGCGGCTCGCGCCGCTTTCGCGTTTATTCTACAACCCGCCTCGCGGCGGCGTACTAATGACAAGTCTGGCGTGCGAAAGTGGCTCGCGAGGGAAACCATGGCTGGTCCGACCTATTGGCCGCTCCGACCTCTTCGGAAAGCACGTGCTCGCAAGACTCAACGTGCCGCGGCTCGTGCCGCGCCGCCACCACAGACAGACCCGCCTCGAGGCGGACAAGCCAGACCCACGCCCGACTCGAGCCGGGGCGGGCGGACGTTTGGGGTCTACAGACCCTCGCGGCCCACGACAAAACATCCTTTTGCGAGCCGTGCCGCTAGAGGACGACAGCCAAGCTAGCGCCTGGCACACCGCCGCTGCTGCGGCACAGGTGTAGGTGGCACACCGCCAGATTAACCGGCTCTCGCGAGCGGAAACAGGCCCTCGTGGGCCACTACGACAAGCAGAAGGACAATACTCTAGCATGTGTGACGACAGCGATTTTCATGCTAGCAGCAATGCGGGAGAGAGAGGGCCCAGCTCATGCCGGGCGCACAGCCGCTGCAGCGGCCCCGCCGGGTGTGGCGCCCACCCGAATCAACGTGCACATGGGCGCACAACGGGCTCTCGTGAGCCATCGCGACAGCGACCCAGACCTCAACCTTAACAGGTGCGATGACAATGATGGCGGCGCGCGCCGCGCATGAACTGCAAACGCCGCGGGGGCCAGTGCCCTCCGGAGTACAGCGGCGGGGCGCGCCCCGCGCCAGCGACCAGCGCCGCGCAACAGATAGTGGTTACTACCTAACTTCGGCTTTCCTGAACCACAGAGGCAACAACGCGGCCCTCGCGAGCCACTACGACAGCAGTGCGAGCACCAGGCTCTGCTGGAACGACGACAGCGTTCGTGGCAAGCACCTACCATGATCAACAACTGTGCTCCTGTCACTGTTTCTGGCTCTGGCCTCACAACAGTCGCCTGTGCAACTCCGCGCTCTTCAACCACCCGCCAAGATCACCTCTGAACTGTGGCCACTCGAATGTCAGCACCTCCTGAGCGCCACTGCGCAGCAGGGAAGACACTTCATCCCTCGAGGGGCCGTCAGCCAGATTCATCTTCGACGGCGCGTATTCAGCGCGATACAACACAGAACGCTCCGCTAGTTCGAACCACAGCCGGCCCGCGATCAGGGCGAGGTCCTGCTTCTTGGAGCACCCCCGCACTACGCGCGACAAGGCCGCTGAATTGTCGATGAAGTGCACAATCCGGCAATTTGTCAAATCTCGTGGAGACAGCGACACGAGGCCCACTAACGCTGCCAGCAGCTCATAGCCAACAATGTTTGTCTTGCGCGAGGACAACAGTTTACGGGTGCGCCTGGGAAGCCTGCCCCTCAATGACATGATGCGGGAGTCGTGCGTTTGAGCTACTGCACCTACCTGGCCTGTGCGTTCCGCGTCTGTGTACAGAATCACGAGAGGCAGACGAACTGGCCGGAGCAGAGGGATCGCGCGGTGCAGGCCGCTCTCGACGACACCTAAAAACCAATCCAGGGAGAGCTTGATTCGGGGCGTCAGCGCATGCGATCCCGCTTTCTGCTGCTGTGTCCAGATCAACGGACGGGGCAGGGCACGGCCGACCCTGTTGAAGATGTGGGAATTCAGATACTGCAGTCTTCCGCACAACTTCGCCGCGAAGCCTGGGGTGAGCCCCCCAGAGACTAAGACTTGGCGGATGTCATGCGACCATTTCTCAGACTTCTGCCTGTCCAGTGTCCAGTGGGTCTCGCTTTCGCTGTTGCTAATGTGTATACCGAGGAGCACTACGGATGACCCGGAATCGCATTTTGCGGGGTCAAGGCGCCACCCGAGCAGCTCCTCGACCACCTCCTGGAAGACGTTGTGCGCCCACTGCGCCGTGGGGCCAACGCCAGGGATATGCACCCCTGGGCACACCCAGAAAGCATCGTCTACGTACATGAACACAACCAGCATGAACAACCGCAACATGATGCACTGGATAGCTCTTGCTGTCCGGTACCAACCGGCGACGCCACCGAGATTACCGAAAACGTGGGACCACAGCGGCACTGCGAACCACGCTTCCAGAGACGGGTTGTACACCAACGCCCAGCACAGCCACTCGTGCGAGCTGTCGGGCGGCAGCGTCTTGAAGGCAGACTTGAAGTCTGCCTTGCCCACGTGCGGAGCATAGCCGCCGCCCCCGCTTTCCGATACAACCCGGAGAGCTGCCACAAGTTGGTGGAAGTCATCATATTTCAGCTTCTGGGGCATGAAGGCGTACTCGTTGACCTCGTTCTTACGGAAGTTGCGGATCGTCCTGGCCTTAGGCGCTGCCGCGCCCCCGCGTTGTTCCCAGATCCCAAAGGTGTCAACCAAGAGTATCTCGTCGAGATTCACCTGCTCAACGGGGATCGGCGGGCCGGCCCTGCCTTCAGCTACGTCCTTAAGCGTCTGGTCCCAGATCTCAGATGCCAAGGAAGCGTCGGATTCTTCGGAACTTCTGCGCTTCTGGGCCGCCCGCAGCGTCTCCAAGTTCAGGCGGCGGCACTCCTGCTTCAGCTCACTCAGAAGCGGGGGGCCTCCGAGACCGGGCCGGCCCCTACTGCGGGGCCCACCCGGCACGTCAACGCCGCCGCCGCCGACGCGCAATGTTTCTGCGAGGGGAAAGTCCCGTAGCAGATCTTGCGCGTAAGACCCGTCACTGTGCCCAGCTTCCCGCAGCATCTTATCCAACATGAAAGGATCAAGCTTGCCCAACACTTGTCGTTTTTCTGGGGGGAGGCTCTCTCTCCAAGCAAGCAAAACATGTGCGTGGGATGTTTTTTCTGCCCTCCAGTGCAGCAAAGCGAACTCTGTCTTTCGATGCAAAGCCAGCGGGTACTCGGCTAATTCACGCAGATTCAAAAGCTGCTCTGGCGTAAGGTGATTGCACGGGTCCCACGCAAAAAAATCATGTTCCTCGAACTGCGCCCAAGAAGCCTCTAAGTGCGACCATGCCTCACTCACGCTCGGCTGCGCTGGCTGCAACCCGACCGTGTCCGAATCAGCCGACTCGCTGTTAAACGATTGTTCATCGCTTTCACTCGCGGCCAACCAGTCCATCTCGGTCGGATCTCACCAGTTGCGCTTGCCGCCTCCCTTGGCCCCCTTGCGGGCGGGCGCCGGCGGGGTCGGCGGCTTCGCCGCCTGGGTCTGGCGGAAGGCTGGCTGCCCCTTGTAGCCGCCCTTGCTGCCACCTGGAGCGCGCTGCTGCTGGCGGGCCGCCACGGCCGCGAATGCCAAGTGTACCTGGAGAGACTCGCCCCGTCCTTTTCCCCCCATACCAATCAAGATTGTATGGCTGGGAAAACCTCACACCAGGATTTGTCCCAACCATCCTGTGGTGTCCTCGTTTTGAAGAGGGAGCGCCCCGCGTCCCACCTCCTCCTCTCCTCCTCACCCCCCTCCTCCCTCCTCCCCCTCCTTGCCTTTGCTCTCGGCACACCTCTCACACGCTTCGTAGCCCCGTAGGGGGCTCCACCGAAGGTCCCAGTGGCACAGCCCGCATGCGGTTCACCCACCCAGGGCATCGTTTCGTGGCCCCATAAGAAGCTCCACCGAAGGTCCCAGTGGCACAGCCCGCATGCGGTTCCCCCACCCAGGGCAGCCCCATATGGAGCCCCACCGAAGGTCCCAGTGGCGCAGCCCGCACGCGGTTCCCCCCACCCAGGGCAGCGCTTCGTAGCCCCATAGGGAGCTCCACCGAAGGTCCCAGTGTCAAAGCCCGCGCGCGTTTCCCCCACCCAGGGCAGCGCTTCGTGGCCCCACAGGGGGCTCCACCACCGAAGGCCCCAGTGGCACAGCCCGCATGCGGTTCCCCCACCCAGAGCAGCGCTTCGTGGCCCCATAGGGAGCTCCACCGAAGGTCCCAGTGGCACAGCCCGCATGCGGTTCCCCCACCCAGGGCAGCGCTTCGTGGGCCCATAGGGAGCTCCACCGAAGGTCCCAGTGGCACAGCCCGCATGCGTTTCCCCCACCCAGGACAGCACTTCGTAGCCCCATAGGGGGCTCCACCGAAGGTCCCAGCGTCACAGCCCGCACGCGGTTCCCCCACCCAGGGCAGCGTTTCGTAGCCCCATAGGGAGCTCCACCGAAGGTCCCAGTGGCACAGCCCACATGCGGTTCCCACACCCAGGGCAGCGCTTCGTGGCCCCATAGGGAGCTCCACCGAAGGTCCCAGTGGCACAGCCCGCATGCGTTTCCCCCACCCTGGGCAGCGCTTCGTAGATCCATAGGGGGCTCCACCGGGTGTCCCAGTGGCACAGCCCGCACGCGGTTCCCCCACCCAGGGCAGCGTTTCGTAGCCCCATAGGGAGCTCCACCGAAGGTCCCACTCGTGCAGTTCGCATGCGTTTCCCCCACCCAGGGCAGCGCGTCGTAGCCCCATAGGGAGCTCCACCGAAGGCCCCAGTGGCGCAGTTCGCATGCGTCCCCCCACCCAGGGCAGCGTTTCGTGGCCTCATAAGTAGCTCCCCCGAAGGTCCCAGTGGCGCAGTTCGCATGCGTCCCCCCCGCCCAGTACAGCGTTTCGTGGCCCCAAAGGGGGCTCCACCGAAGGTCCCAGTGGTGCAGTTCGCATGCGCCCCCCCCCACCCAGTACAGCGTTTCGTAGCCCCGTAGGGAACTCCACCGAAGGTCCCAATGGCGCAGTTCGCATGCGTCCCCCCCCCCACCCAGTACAGCGCTTCGTGGCCCTATACGGGGCTCCCCCGAATGCGATACCCACAACTGCATATGGTTGGGTCCTTCGCCAGGCTACTTTTGGAACGCGCCACACAAGGATTCTATTGGAAAGCCGCACAACAGGAGTCCTTGGGAAAAACACCACTAAAGCATCACATTGGACTGCATCACAACAGGAATCCTTTGGACAGCATCGCAAAGGTTTTTTTTCATTGGGAGGCCTCACAACAGAAACCCCTTGGAAAGCACCACTGAGGAATTCGATTGGATTGGAAAGCGCCACGAAAAGGGTTCTATTGGAAAGCCTCACAACAGGAATCCTTTGGAACGCACCTCACAGGGATTCCATTGGCAAGCCTCGCAACAGGAATCCTTTGGAAAGCACCACAACGGGATTCGATTGGAAAGCCTCACACCAGGAAAGATTGCCGCGCAACACGAATCATTTGGAAAACTCAACCAAAGGATTCGATTGGAAAGCCTCACGCCAGGAATCCTTCGGAAACCACCACAAAGGGGACCGATTGGATTTGGAAAGCGCCACACAAGGGATTCGATTGGAAAGCCTCACACCAAGATTTTTCGGAAAGCGCCACACAGAAACTCGATTGGAAAGCTGCACAACAGGAGCCCCTGGGAAAAGCACCACTAAGGGATTCCATTGGACTGCATCACAGAAGGAATCCTTTTGGAAAACATCGCAAAGGATTTCTATTGGAAGGCCTCACAACAGGAACCGTTTGGAAAGCACCACAAAGGAATTCTATTGGATTGGAAAGCGCTACAAAAGGGAGTCTACTTGAAAGCCTCACAACAGGAATCCTTTGGAACGCACCTCGGCTTCTCGGTCTTAAGAGCGCCCCCGATATCGCCCCTCGGTCTTAAAAGCGCACCTTTGTTATATGATGTCCGTATGCTCGGCTTCTCGGTCTTAAGAGCGCCCCCGATATCGCCCCAAGACGGCACCCAAGGCCTCCAAGAGGAGCCCAAGAGGCCCCAAGAGGGACCCAAGAGGGGAAACACGAACTGACAGTTGGAGCCCTCCACCCCAAGATGATCCTCTACATCGTCTCCAGGCCCCAAAAAGCCCCCAAACGGCCCCCTATCCGCCACCGTAGGCGTTGGGTGGGGTGTCCCCAGGCCCCTTCGAGGGCATCTGCCTTGAACACTGCAGATGCTCGTTAGGGGCCCCGGCCGCCAGCCCCAGGCGGCACCAACGCTCCCGGGCGGTCTGGTTTCCCCTCGCGTGACCTTTCGAGAGGCCTCGGGAGCGTGGTTGGAGGCCTAAGTCTCCCGTGTAGGGTCAGGACCTTTTGCATCGAGTGTCGCCGCGGCGGCCCCCGCGACGCGCTGCCCCCTGCGAGCGGATGGCACGTCGCTCCGCTCCGCGGGGCAGGAGGCTGGGAAAGGCTCGGGACGTGGACGCCTGGGAACCGGGAAATGGACAGCGCGTCGCGCCGCAGCGCGGCGGGCCAGAGCCAGCGGAGCGACGCGCCGAGCCAGAGCTCCCGGCCGGAAGCCCCCCTGCATGCCGGAAGGCGGTCTCGGAAGCCCGTGCCTGCGCTCGCTTGGGGGCCTCTGTTTCTTCTGGCCTCGGCGCTGCGCCGCGCCCCGGCGCACGGCGGCCGCTCAGAGCGTCGCGGCGGGGAGCAGGGCTTGAGGGGGAACGTTGCGGGGGAGGGGCAGCTGGGGCGGGGAAGCCAGCCCCCGTCGCCAGGCGCACCTGACAACAGTGACGCTCGCCTTGACGAATCACGCCACAAGAAGAGAAGTGGCATCGACCTGTGCGACGTCACGCCGAAGGCACCATCGGCCTCCGATCCCGACGCCCACGGCAAAGGACATGAGGCATACACCGAACAACACAACCATGTGTGCCGAGGGGAGCTCCGTATCTTGTTCGCGTACCTCTGCAAGAGCCGTCCCGCCAAAGTCAATCAATGCATCCTTCGGGAAGACGCCTGGGCAAGTGGCCGACAGGAAGAGGAAGAAAGCCGTGAAGAAGTTGTGGAGCCAAAAGTGCCAAAAGTTGTAGTTCGGGTCCTTGAGGGCCGAAACCTGCTCTTCAACTGTGTCCTTCGGAAATCCAAGCTCCATAGTCTTTGCGATACCCACAACGGCAAGATAGATGGCGATGGCGGCCCAAAGAACCCAATGCGGTGCTGTGCTGATGGCGAACAGAGTGTACAACCAATAGCCGAGGAACCCCAGGAGCACCAGTGTTAATGGTGCGTTCAACTTTGCAACTGTGGGGAACTTGTCAGCATAATGTTCGATCAGACCCTGGATACCAAAGGCCACAGTCAGGACTGGGATCGGGTGTGGACAAAATGTAACGGTACGCCCAATGATCCAACCACCGATGACGTGGTAGATGTAGAAGAACCAAGCTGGAAGAACTGGGAAGCTTTCTCCGACCATGGTGCCTACTAGGTGCGGAAGGATTGCGAAGGTCCTGGTCTGTCGACCTGATATGGATTAGGGACGATGGTCCTGCGTCGAGCCAAAACGGCTTCGACCAAAATGGCTACGGAGCTCTCTTGGGGGTCTCTTGATACACCACAACAGCCGCGTGCATTGCAGCACCACGTCGCCCATGCACACCGCGGTGCCAGTGCATACTGCAGCAACCGTTGTTTACAATAGGCTTCTACAAACAACCACTGCTCGTCATAGGATTCATAAAAGAAACCCTATGGGAAATGGAACGCCTCTGGACTCCACATAACCCCATTTGTACATAATGTTTGAAAAAGAATCGCTGTGGAAAACGAAACGCCTCTGGACTCCACAGAAAAACCGTTGTTTGAAAAAGAAAGCCCTCTGGAAATTGAAACTGGGGCGCCTCTTGATTCCACAGAAAACTAACGTTTTATATACACATGTTGAAAAAATCCCTATGGAAATTGGAGCGCCTGAGGATTCGACACGCGTGCACCAGAACTCCTGCGTACACCACAACGCCTGTGTACACCACAGCAGCCGCGTGCAACACAGCGTCGGTGTACACCACAGTGCCTGCGTGCACCACAGCGCTTGCGTACACCACACCGCCTGTGTACACAGCAGCAGCCGTGTGCAACGCAGCGCCGGTGTGCACCACGCTGCCTGCGTGAACTACAATCGATACGTGCATTAAGGACGGGTGATAAGGACGCAAGACCCGTGGACACCGAAGTTGGAATTTGTGTTGCAAAAACTGGCCAATGAAAGCGGCAAAGGACAGGCCGCAGAGGCAAGGACACCGGGGTACCCTGGAGAAGGCGCGCATCCTCATTAGGCGCGTTCACCGCATCGAGCTTCAACCGAGCGCCAGCCAGAAGGAAGAAAAACAGAGCCACCCCACTTTGCATCTGTGGAAAAGTGGTCGAACCATCGCCAGCTGCATTGGACGACGTGACGACGACGACGACGACGACGACGGCGACGGCGACGAAGACGACGACTACGACGACGACGACGACGACGGCGACGGCGACGGCGACGGCGACGGACGACGGACGACGGACGTCGGACGACGGACGACGGACGACGACGACGACGACGACGACGACGACGACGACGACGACGACGACGACGACGACGACGACGACGACGACGACGACGACTGCGAGCGCCACAACACGTTTGTGAGAACCAATGCGTGCCTTTCAAACCACGCCATGCCTATGAGCACAGCAACAAACCTGCGGGGGGTCCGCTCCCAGGATGGGAGAGGGGGCCTGGCCGCCAGGCCCCCCCTCCCTCATCCTTCCCCTCTTCATCCTGGGAAGACCCCCCTCCCCCGTAGAATCATAGAATTGGTCTGCAGATCCACAGCCCCGTGGATAGCATGATGCTTCACTTGCGGTGCTCTGCGGATCCCATTTCCCCTGGGTCCCGGGTGTTAATTATTACTCTCTCTCTCTCTCTCTATATATATATACACTAGAAAACCACGCGCGCGCTACGCGCGCGCTTTGGTTCTAGTCACGGCACCACTGCGCCAGCGGGCGCCGAGGCAAGTATCGCTCCGGTGGTCACGGCTCCCTGGCGCCGAAGAGTGCCCAAGAGGCGCCAGGAGTCTCTGAGAGTCCTCTGAAGAATGCACGAAGGAGGCGAGTGGGGGGGGGGAAGGAGGGGATGGAGGGCGGAGCTCCATCTCTTGGTGGCCCCACAGGATGCCCCTCCACAGAGGCTGATCCTCCTTCTCTGGCGAAAACCTGGCAAAATCATTAGCCAGACTCCTTCTCAGGCTCTTCCGATGCAGTTTTTCATCCTGGATCTGTTTTTGGACGCCCAAGGGCTCAGAAACAACCCCCAGACGACTATAACAGCGAAGTGCCTCCAACGCCGAAGCCCACAAACCTCGACGCGGCGGCTGCCTAAGCAGGAGCTTCGATGGGTATGGTCCGCCGCGGAGCAGCGCGGCCGCGGGCGCCGGGGCCGTCGGCGAGGCCACGACGAAGGCTGGTTGGAAAATCATGGCCCCTGGTGCCCGGTGAGGCCACTCGAAGGAGAGCAACGTGAGACACGGCGTTGAGGCATCCTGGGTGGAGGAGGAGGGAGGAGCAGGAGGAGGAGGAGGAGGAGGAGGAGGAGGAGGAGGAGGAGGAAGGGGGAGGGAGGAGGGGGAGGAGTGGGCGCCGACTACATGCCGTCCGTGTGACCGAACAGCAGCAGGCTATAGAAGAGACAGCACGGGCATGGCACGATAGGGGAAAACGCCGGGCAATTTTGTCCCAACCCCCTACGAGCACATGCCAGCAAACCGAGCTGGCGGTCAGCCCGGAGAAAATAAATCGCACCCCAATTCAAGACGCAACGAAAATGTCACGAATTTCGGCGCCACGACAGGGGTGAGACGAGCGCGGGCGGCACATACCCTCAGGATAGGGCCAGCACCACCGCCAAGAACAAGTTAGCCGTCTAAGGCTTCACCCGTCGTGGGGTGGAGGCCACGTTCAGCCTCATTCAGCTTCCTGGTTGGAGGAGGGGGAGGAGGGAAGGAGGAGTGGGAGAAGGAGGGAGTGGGGGAGGAGGAGGAAGGGGTGGGGGTGGAGCAGGAGGAGGAGGAGGAGCAACAGGAGGAGGAGGAGAAGCAGGAGGAGGAGGAGGAGGAGGAGGAGTAGAGGAGGAGCAGGAGGAGGAGGAAGAGGAGGAGGAGGAGGAGGAGGAAGACGAGGAGAGGAGGAGGAGGAGGAGGAGGTGGAGGAGGAGGAGGAGCAGGAGGAGGAGGAGGAAGAGCAGGAGGAGGACGAGGAGGGGGAGGAGGAGGAAGGGGTGGGGGAGGAGGACGGGGGTGAGGAGGAGGAAGAGGAGGAAGAGGACGAGGTGGAGGAGGAGGAGGAGGAGGAGGAGGAGGAGGAGGAGGCGCGACGTTTACCAAGGAGCGGAGGGGGGAGGAGAGGCAGGAGGAGGAGGACAAGGAGGAGGAAGCCACCTAGGAAATCATGGGCTCCGGAGCGTGCGCTCGGTGTCCTCGCGGTGCCGCGCGCGGTCACGCTGACCGATCGGTCACATCTGCTTGGCTATGAGGAAACATCGCCAGTCGCAGTGGACATCGCCCACGGAGTTCCACGCGATCTTGGAGGCCCAGATGGCGAGCATGCGATCCAAGTCGGATGGCGGGATGACGTGCGGACGCGCGAACAGGGAGTCGCAGAGGGCCAGAGTGTTGCTAGTACTGGGAGCGTTCGAACAGGAAGGCGCTGAGATCACGACGAACCAATGGCCTCCGCACATGGGGCCGCGGAACAGGTACGCGTGCGGACGGAAGAGGCCTTCTGTGGACGCGTTGTCGTCAAAGGGGGGGCCCAAACGGCGCTGCAGATCGTGGGGTGTCAGCGGCAGCATGGAGAGGTCGGCGCGCGTGAAGTTGCATGATAGTACGGCCACGGCGTAGTTGCCACTGTGATCCTCAAGCAGGTGCTCGATGCGGTCCCCAATGCGGGCTTCGAGGGCTGTCTGCTCAAACCGCGTCTGGTCCACAGGTGTGAATGGACGATGGGTAGAGAGAGATGCTGCGGCAAGCGCGTGGTTGAAGGCATGGAGGCCGCAAGTGCTGCCTCGCTGCGTTCCCGCGGCGGTCGTCGCACCGGTCTGCGGCGCATTGTACCACGTCGGGGTCGAGTCGAACGGCCAGATCGGCTCAGGGGAGGGAAGTCCAGTATCGCGAAGGAGAAGCCACGGAGGAGGGCCACGGGTGAGCTGTCTGGCACGCTTGGCGAGCGGACCGATGGTTGCGTCGCGAGATTCCGTGGGCCTGGAAGCGGAGCTTCCGCATGGCACTGTCGGACATAGGGGCGGTGGCCGGAAAGACATGCAGCTGGCGGTCGCCGAGCGAGGTGCGGACGATGTAACTTCTGCAGCGGGCGTCTCAGCGGGAGGCGGTGGGCTTCCCTCTGGAGGGCGCGGCGCACGGCATCTCCGCGCGCGCTACGCGGGGGGGGCCAGTGAGTCGCAATTGGGCGTGAGTACTTCGTGGGTCACTGTGTATGTGTGGGCGGCCGTCTCGTCGAAGGTGTCTTGCGCGGTGGCGTGGTGTCTAAAATACGCTGTGTGCATGCCGCGCAGCTCCGCGCCGGACTCTCGTTCGTTGTCAAGAGCGCGTGCCGGCTCGCACGATTTGGTCTCGTGCAGGGCAGGGACTTCTTGCGTAGCGGTGGCGGCGACGTCTGCCTCTTTCGGTCGGGGTGCCTGGCCGTCCTCTCTGTGATCTACGTCCACACTCTCTCGAGCGGCGCTGCTGTCAGGGCCAGGTGCGCGCGCTGCCTGCAGCAATGACGCGTCCACGATGTTGGCGGTGAATGCACGTGCAGGGCAACTCCCCGTAAGTGGCATGAGGCCATGCTCCGTCTGATGCGTCTCTTCTACCAAGACCGTCGTTGTTTCAAAGCTCGACCCTCGAAAGATGGCAACGCAGAGCTGGCCGCGCGCGAAAGCGGGCCGCGGAAGATAGACTCCCAGACGACCTTGCAGGGACTGGCCTTGCGATTTGTTGATGGTAATGGCCCAGGCCGGTCTCGCGGGGCATTGATGTCTTCGGAGGACAAAAGGGAGCTCGCAATCGCCGCAGGACTCCCAACAAATCCGCGGGATGAGCTCGACGTTGCCTGCGAAAGGGCCTGTGACTATACGGGCGACGAGGAAGTGCGACCGCAGCGTTTCTACAACCAGCCGCGTTCCGTTGCACAGGCCGCGGTGCGGGGCGAAGTTCCGAAGGAGGATCACTAAGGAGCCGCTGCGCAAGCGCGACTCGTGCGGCGGGAGTCCAGCTGTTTGGATGCTGTTGAGAAACTCGGTGGTGTAGGTATCACCGATCCACTTCGGCGATGGCCGCGTCGTGGCTCCGGGACACTACTTCGGCATTGCGGGGCAACTTCGCGTGCGTGAGGGCGTTGAAGGCGTCAGCAGCATCGTTCGTTGGCGTCACAACGGCA